CCTCGTTTTGGTATCGGCCCCGTTTGGTATCCAAATCGATAACACCGCTATCATACCACGAATTCTCATACACTCGCACCAGCTGTTTTTTAACATTATTGGACAGGAATCCTGTGTTCTGATGGAACTGTATGGTCACCGCGTGATCCCTGAGCCATTCTGTTTGGGCATCAGAAAAATCTTCGTCAAGGTCTAACCGAGCAAAATCGTCCCCCAATTCGATTGTCCCTATACAAAGTCCTGATGGGAGCAGCCCATCGTGGTAGCATGCATCTAGTAAATCCTTGATGTATGCTTTCTCCTCTACGGTGTAAATTCGTTTGTCTTGTGAGGATTGGTTGGTTTCCGCGGGGGCGAACAGATTAGGAAGATTCGGCTCCATTTTGACGCAAGTCAAAGTGGAGAGTTACACCTTACAATCGGACTACTTAACTTTAGGCGAGACTTCACAGGAAAACGGACTTCGTGGGGACAACAAAACAAGGTTATCGTTCCTTTCCACCATAATATAGTTATTAATATAAATAGGCCTCAATAAATTTGAAAACGAGTCAGGTTTCCAGCGATGCTTGTGGAGAGTGTCGGCTTACCCACATATAGGATACTCCCTGGGTAGTTGGTTGCTTGCTCCTTGTCATGTTTGATTGTTGTCTACGGGCAAAGCGAGAAGCGACGGGGGGTTATGGCTCCGAGTCTCCCTGAGAGAGTCCTTTGCCCCGTTGGATAAATGGTTGCTTACCTGGGAAGGTAGCAGCGATGCTCTCCTAACCGCCATAGCCAGGCTATCGCGGGTGGGATACGTCCCAGTTACCTGGAAGTTGACGACAAGTCACCGTAGCATGGTGACGGCAGCTGTTTCGAGCGGAGCGTTAGCGCCGCAAAAAACAGCGCTCGGAACCCTGTTCCCCTCCGACGAGCCCGCTGGTTCTCCACCCCCCCGTTCGTTTTTAAAACGGGCTGCAGTTTTTTTGTTTTCCGTTGTAGCCGCCGACACGGCGCGACCATAAGACGGTTAAAAAAAAAAAAAAAAAAAAAAAAAAAAAAAAAAAAAAAAAAAAAAAAAAAAAA